TCTGTCTCTACCCCTAAAACTCTGTTTCCCTGAACCATGATCTGTCTCTACCCCTAAAACTCTGTATCCTTAAACCACGATCTATCTCTACTCCTAAAACTTTGTATCCTTAAACCATGATCTATCTGTCTCTACCCCTAAAACTCTGTATCCCTGAACCATGATCTGTCTCTACCCCTAAAACTCTGTATCCTTAAACCATGATCTATCTCTACACCTAAACCCTAGCATTTGTATTTTATCCTTTATCCTTGTATCTCTGAAGTCTGAAATCTATTCCCATAATCTTGTATTACCCGTAAACTTTGTTTCTTCAAACCACCTAAAAAATCATGTCTTCATACCCTATTTACATACCAATATGAATTTCAAAGGCCATTCGTTCATAACCTTGGTTTAGAAAACCCGTTTATACGTTTATGCATTTTATCGAAAACGTGTAAAGTTGAAGCTCCTTGAAACTTCAAGAATTATGTTTGAAAGTTTAAATAAAATACTTCAAAAAGTTACAACATACTGCTAAACTTTGTCTTTAGAAATGTTTTAAATTTAATTTTAAAAGTTTGCATTGAATAATGAATATATTTGCTGCATTGAAAATTCTTTACAACGTTGAACAGACACAACATAATTTTTAACTTCTATCCATTCTCCCCCTCCTGTGGTAAATGCCGTACTCCATAAGGGTTTCTCAAATCCGTATCTATCCAGGTACAACTCAGTTTCAATTTACTATCAATGTCAAAACCCGGACACAATATCCTAAACTATCAATGCCAGACCAATGGGCACGATCTTATAAGCTATCAATGTCAACACGGACACAAGCTTTTAGACTAACAAAACCAAGCCAACGGGCACAATTTCGTCAGCTATCAATGTCAACATGGACACAAGCTTGTAAACTATCAATACAAAGCCAATGGGCACAATTTCGTCAGCTATAAATGTCAACACAGACACTAGCTTGTAAACTATCAATGTCAAACCAATGGGCACAGTCTCGTCAGCTATCAATATCAACACAGACACTAGCTTGTAAACTATCAATGCCAAGCCAATGGGCACAGTCTCGTCAGCTATCAATATCAACACAGACACAAGCTTGTATAATATCAATGCCAATCTATGTGCAATCTCATAAACTCATTAAACAAGGAATGTAAACTCTCTCACCGTAATCAATGCGGAGTCTATATATACTAACTAATGTGCAATTAGATATCTATGTTACAGATTAAGTTTAATATATGTATTTACAAGACTAGCGTGGATATATATAAGCGTAGTCAAGCCAGTCACTGCAGACGTAGTTATAAATTAATCACAATACAGGTTTTGACGTATTTTCAGAAGGTTGGAGGTATAGGGAGAGGGTAGGGGGTATTGGGAGAAGGTTGGAGATTTATGGAGAAAGTAGGAGTTTTAGGGAGAAGGTTGGAGGTATGGGGAGAGGATAGAGGGTATCGGGAGAAGGTAGGGGGTATAGGGAGAAAGTTGGAGGTGTAACACGTTTGTTTTTGGATCGTTTTTGATTAGTTTTTTTTGCATATATTTCCTGTCAGGGTCCAACTTTGGAATTGTGAACAGTAATAATCAGAAAACTCTGAAATAGGAAGACTTTTAGAATCACGTTTCATTTTGCGATTAAATGTTTTTAATGATTTGTAGTTTTTAACTATAATTTATCCCGCAAAGTTTGCGCTACATTTGTTTGGATATATGTAGGATAAAGCTACAGTGAAACCCTTAATAACGAATACATCGGAAGAATTTATCAAATGTCGTCCTGACAATTTTTCAATGAGTTGTATACTATATTACGTAAATTTCAGTATTTGCGACAATAAATACCATGAATATGCGGGAACAGTTTTAAAGAGTTCCATATAATCATTTAATTGAAAACTAAATATCTGCAACATTCCATTATCAGAAAGTGAAGAATACGACATTTTATGAATTCGTTCGGTGTATTTGTTATTAAGGGTTTCACTGTATTACAAAACTTTCAGCTACATTTCTAAAATAAAAGAAGGTAGGAAGACAACCAACGAAAAGAAAGAAAGAAAGGAGAATAATTGAAGACAATTGTGATAAAGATGAGAGTAAAGGGAAATGAAAGAAATGAGGAAGCGACAAAAGCAAAAAGTATTAAAAACAAAATTGCAAAGAAGTAAACAAAAGAATTTAAAGGATTAGCCATCATTAATTTACGCTGAACACTTGAGTTTTCTTTGTAGAAAGAAATATTGACTTTTTTGAAGACGACATTCTAAAACGGTTTCCTTTCAAACAAAATGTTCCTTCATAGCCCGAGACCGGAACTTAAAATAGTTAAAGGAATTGAGTCTTTTTCAAAGGCGGGGGCAGTACTCCCGCCTAGACCTGTAAAGGGGGCAAACAAATTTGCGCTTCGCGTTGGCCACCCCCTAGATTTATTTCTTGTTCCTTCATAGCCAGAGACCGGAACTTAAGAGATTTGTTTTGACATAGTTAAAGGAATTGAGTCTTTTTCAAAGGCGGGGGCAGTACTCCCCCCTAGACCTGTAAAGGGGGCAAACAAATTTGCGCTTCGCGTTGGCCACCCCTTTGATTTATTTCTGTGTACGCCCTTGGTCTTAGTCACAAACTTTGATTTTCTAATTTCTATATAATTGCAATCCAGTGTAGTAAACCTTCGATAATAATTCTAACTAAGAATTCTGATAAATCAAATAATATAAGTTTTAAATAGCTAAGGTTTCGCCATCAGGTTGTAAAGATATAGAGATTATAAAGTTTTAATTTGTGGCAAAGACTCAATTCCTTTCTATTATAGTTAAAAACGATTGACTTTTTTTCAGAGCATTTTAGGACACCTTAAGTCGTAGTCGTATATATCAATACAATGGAGACTAATTGTAATTTCAAATTTTTATTTCTACTATGCTTTCAAACACATGGAAACATATAACATAGAAACAAAGAGAGTAAATTACAAGTTTTCTTTGTTGACTTGTATAACTTTCTGTCGTCTTTATTCAGTAATTATGGTTAGATTCTGATGTATCCAGGGTTAAAGTGTTTAAAGGGACCGGCTATGTAAGGTAGTTGAACTAAGTATGCAGTGTTCTTTAGGATTCATTTGAGACATATAAAACTTTTTAAAGATCTGTAAATCCTGATTTTGAGCGCAAAGTCAACGTTCAAAATCGTAATTTAGGGGGATACATTTTCAGAATCGGTTTTTTTTAAATTATTAATTGATCTGTTGTCTATCTTAAGTTTACATTATATAATATAATTCTATATATAAAACTATTAAGAATTATGATTTAAGTTAAATTTATTTCCTCATCAGAAGAAAGCAAAGACGACTTGTAAGTCACTACTTGATTCCCGAGGTTTTTGGGGACACACTTGATATATTGTTCCCTTTACACGTAAAACTAAAGTAAATTCCACGTAAGATTGAAATTTAAATTGTCTTTAATCATAACTTGAAATTTTTAGAAAACTAAATGTTTTGAATTTCTTATATGTAACCTGAGCTGAAAACTTTATTCTTCTTAAACCACTCTTTCTTGGATATAGTTGAGAAAATCAAAAACCGGTTTTATAAATTAGAGAGTCCCTCCCGTTTCTGCTTATTTATCTTAAATAGCGCGACAAATTTCAAATTTATCGGCTTTTTTGGTTGAATTTTATACACTTTTCAGGATACATGTACAAGATTAGGTTAGTCTCGAGATGAAGAAAAAGAGAGGATCAAGCACTAATCTCGATATCCACCATTCTAAAGTTTTAAGCTCAGATAAATTTGCTACTCTCATAGCAAATTCACACCAAGGTAATATTTCCTACTGTCCAGTTTGCAGTGTGTAATTTGTAGAGTGTAGATAACTGTAAACATAAACAAAGATGGAGTTTAAATATTTATCTCTTCTGCGGAAGTTTAGATTATTTAATTTGTTTATTATAAGAGTGCATTTATACCTCGTTTATATCATATTTGATAAAGTTCATATCATACTTTTATAGTTCATATCAAATTCGTTTATATTTCATATCATATTTGTTATAGTTCATATCATATTCGTTTATAGTTCATATCATATTTGTTAAAGTTCATATCATATTTTTATAGTTCATATCAAATTCGTTTATAGTTCATATCATATTTGTTTATAGTTCATATCTATTCGTTATAGCTCATATCATATTTGTTATAGTTCATATCATATTCGTTTATAGTTCATATCATATTTGTTAAAGTTCATATCATATTCGTTATAGTTCATATCATATTTGTTATAGTTCATATCATATTTGTTATAGTTCATATCATATTTGTTAAAGTTCATATCATATTTTTATTGTTCATATCATATTTGTTAAAGTTCATATCATATTTGTTATAGTTCATATCATATGTGTTATAGTTCATATCATATTCGTTATATTTCACATCATATTCGTAATAGTTCATATCATATTTGTTATAGTTCATATCATATTTGTTATAGTTCATATCAAATTCGTTTATTGTTCATATCATATTTGTTTTTAGTTCATATCTATTCGTTATAGTTCATATCATATTCGTTTATAGTTCATATCATATTCGTTTATAGTTCATATCATATTTGTTAAAGTTCATATCATATTTGTTATAATTCATATCATATTCGTTATAGTTCATATCATATTTGTTATAGTTCAGATCATATTTTTTATAGTTCATATCATATTTGTTAGAGTCCATATCATATTTGTTATAGTTCATATCATATTTGTTATAGTTCATATCATATTTGTTAAAATTCATATCATATTCGTTATAGTTCATAACATATTTGTTATAGTTCAGATCATATTTGTTATAGTTCATATCATATTTGTTATTGTTCAGATCATATTCGTTATAGTTCATATCATATTCGTTATTAAAATATCTAGACTTGGGTATAGATATAACATGATAGATAAATAAACATAACTCAGTTTATCACAAACCTTTGAGAGGGAAGGACAAAAGTGTTTACTATTAAATGAAGATTAAAGGATGGGTTTATTTCCTTCTAGTAAACCTTACTCTGGTCCAGGGGGGTATCAAGGACGACCTTAGAACCAGGTTATTATATTTACAGGTCTTGAAAATTATATATGGCTGTCTGGATCTTTATCTGTGCATCTATATATCGTCTATGATCATTTAAAAATGCTATTATCGATGCACAAGAGGAACTTTTATACCTTAATTTTTTATTAATGTATAAAGGAATTGAGTCTTTGCCACAAACTCTGGTTTTATAATCCTTTATCTTTGCAACCCAATTGCTGTAGACCTAAGATATTTCAAACTATGAGTTCTGTGAGATCAAATAATCTAAGTTTGAAATATCAAAGGTTTACACCATCAGGAAGAAATGATATAGGGATGAGACAATTTGATTTGTGTCAAAGACTCGATTCCTTTCAGCAATTTTTCTCCCTGGATTGAGATAAATCTCGGCATTTTCCGTCGTCGCCTCTTCTGCAATAAAAATAGGAAAAAATTAAAATAAAACTAATAAAGAAAAAATTTTAAGTTCTCTTTACATAGTTTTTTTTCCACTTAAAACATTCTTTTCAAATCCTCGACAAATACATAAGAAAGAAGTTTGCATTGACCACAGGTGGTCTTGTATAATATAAGTTACTTACAAGTCCATTAGTTGTCACCCTTTGGAATAGACATTTTGTGATTCAATAGTGTCTCGCTATAAATGGTATTATATACGGTTTAAATATCTAACATTATAATTGAAACAAAATCCTTTTTTCTTTAAACCTATTTGTTGCACAGGTTCACCGGAAATGAAGAGGACCTGGAGAATATACTGAACCTGCTGGAAAAACAAAATCTTCTCCAGACCTGGACCCAGATACTGGAGAACCCGAACTCTGCTCTTCTTGTCATAGATATGCAGAATGATTTTATTTCAGGTACAATGATAACCGGGAAACTCTGAAATAAGAAGACGACTTTTAGACTTAGTTCTGACTTTAAAAAGTCCAATGAATATGAGACACAGCAATTGTGCAGTGTGAACAGACCCATTCACTAAATTAGTGATCTGATAAGTGTCTAGTAAAACTATTTGCTTTGTAACAACATCAAATACACTTAAGTGTTGCCAGAAAGTCGTCTTCTTCTTCAGAGTTTTCTGGTTCTCAGTGTATACAGTATACACACTATACAGTGAACTGAAGTTTACAATGGGACTGGGTTCAGAGAAGGGGATTTTATAACTCCACAGGGGAAAACTAAATAAATTCAAATTCTTTTTTTTGTCTCAAAAAGTTTATTCAATTGTATGGTCAAAACAAACGCAATCCTGAAATTTCCAAAAATTGATTTAGAAAAAAAATGTAGAATTAAAACAATCTTAGTTTTAGACTTCTTGAATTCTAAAAGTGTATTAAACAAATTTAACATTTTCATAAATATATATTTAGTTTAAAAAGAGTAATTTTTATTATAGTAAAACTGTTTATATCCTGTTGCATGTTTATTATAGTAAAACTGTTTATATCCTGTTGCATGTTTATTTTAGTAAAACTGTTTATATCCTGTTGCATGTTTATGCAGAACATGCAAATTCAATCTTTTAAAGTGTGAAGCTTATATTTACCGCGGGTTTGTATAAAAACAGATAAAAATCGTCCTTTTTTACGCAGAATTCGTTTATTAAATTGTTATTCCAGGCAGTATGGAACTGGAGGGCGCTGATGAGCTGATAGAAACCATCCAGGTCTTTTTATGATTATTAAATTTAATATTAAAAAAAAAATTTGTGACATAAAAGTTTTTTTAAAGTTAACATTAGCATTAATTAGAGAAATATTTGCAACCTGATGGTACAAACCTTTTGATCTTTCAAACTTTAATTAATTTGAATAATTTATGAAAATGAAATATAATATTATACAGTTTAACCAAAAACTTTGGAGACATCGAAAGAATTTATAAAATGTCGTTAATATTCCATTAACTTTTGTTCTTTAATTAAATAATTAAATGGAACTCTTTAAAACTGTTCCCGCATATTAAATAGATATTTATTCAAACAATGACTTTATTTGGATAAAATAGTATGAAACCCAATGAAAATTTACCAAGAAGACATTTTATAAATTCTTTCGATGTCTCCGAAGTTCTGGGCTGAACTGTATCCAACAAAATATTATGAGCTACGACATCTTTTTATGAAGATATAAGAACTAGAACATTAAAACCTTTGAGAAGTTTAAAGGGAGTGTTCGCGAAAAATGAAAGGAGGTATAGACTTTATGCGATAAAAAGCACTTTTGATCGCTACTAATCTTACTTTTATCTGGTGTGTCTATAAGAAAAAATTGTTAAAACCCACTTTTACTTAAGAACGTAGTATCCATACAAATTCAGAAAGATTGCAACATTCAACTCGGATCGTAAACAAATTAATTTAATTCCAAACAAATCATTCAGATATTACAAACAGTAGTTATCGATTATTTTTCGACGTCTTAATTATCAAAAATCCTCGAAACAGGAATAAATGTTTTCAAAAGTAACTCTCAGATCATGAAAAATACAAAAAATTATGAAAAATCAATTTTTTACGAATGCGTCGAAAAATAATCGATGACTATTGTTTGTAATATCTGAATGATTTGCTTGGAATTAAATTGATTTGTTTACGATCCGAGTTAAATGTTGCATTCTTCTGAATTTGTATGGACACTACGTTCTTCGGTATTAGTCGTTTTTAACAATTTTCTTCTTATAGACGCAACAGATAGAAGTAAGATTAGTAGCGATCAAAAGCGCTTTTTTATCGCATTTAGCCTATACCCCCTTTCATTTTTCGCAAACACTCCCTTTAAAAAGTTGTTGAAATTTTGTTGTGTAAAAAATCATTTCGATAAGGACGTAGCATCTGGTTGGGACTGGGGAAAAGTCGTCTTCTCACAGGATTGGCATCCAAGGTAGAAAGAAACTACAGGGTGTCCAAAATCATTTCGGATCGTTTATGGCTCTAAATAGTGTTTTCGGGACTAATCAGAAAATTTAAAAGAATCAATCATTTTAGAAATTTGTGTAAGCCTAATATAGAAGTTTGCACGAAGAAAACGCCCGATTCTTTTAGTATTATGTTCGTATTTCTGCGTTAAATCTTGGAGATAATCCAATATGATATGAACGCTCTGTATGTAGAAATATAACTCTACATACATGTTGTCCAATTTATTAGTGTCAAGGATGTAATGCAAGGAAAGTTATTTCATAAGTGTACGCATCTTTTGTTCTGCAGTGTACTATCTCCGGGCGGTAATGTAAACACAAGACGGATGTTACAGCCTGACATGGGATCCATCTTTCACATAAAAAAAATCAATGAAATATTCTGGTCATAGGAAACTATTACGTGAATTATCAAAATTATCAAATTTAATGCTTTTAACCTCCTCGGATACTAAACGAACACTGATGCATCTATTCTTGTTTACAAATTCCGCCCAAAGAGAACTGGTTTCAATATGTACGCAGAGTATACACAACCGCAATTGACTTTCCTTGCATTACACCCTTGATTAGTGTGATGTTCTGCGTATAATTTGTGAACATTTACATGAATTGTACACTTTGAACTCCCTTTCAGGCTGAAAGGGACTGACAAAATTCATACCGAGGGATTGTTTAAATTCCACTCTAATATATTCTATTCTCTTTGGCGATAATATCAGTAAAATGAAGGCGATTTTTTATTAAAGTTTTTATTGTTAACAAGCATTTTTCGAATTACAAGTTTACATTTAATTTAAGAGAAGCCTTTAATAATTTAAGCTTCTCTTTGTTTTTATTGTTTCTATGCTGTGTAAAAGCTTGATATAAATCAAAATTGAAATCGAAAGTCGTCTTCATCGTATTTATATAATCGCCTACCACCGTAATTGTAGGGATCATATCTCTTTTTTCTCTAATGTGGAGAAGCGACCTCTAGACGAAACATGGAGAAATAAAAATCCAGGGACTCATTAAAAATTAAACAATTATTGATGCTATTGATTTTTAACCCGGCCTTTTCCCTTGTAAAACATCCCCGGGTTCTAATAAAATTTGTTTAATTTAGATTTTAGGGTAAAAATCTAAATTAAACAAAGAAATGGAGATATCCATGTTTAATTAAGACAATTAATAATTTTAATTTGTTGTTTCTCTGTATAAATGACAATGGCGAATTTATGCAGTAGAGTAAAAGCAGGAATTTTACAGAATTTATCTCCTTACAATAAACGACGGTATGTTCCTTATTACTTGGCTACTCTAATGTGAGTCGGTTCTTTGGCTCTATTTACTTAAAACTTAGTCGATTGCTCCTTTAAACGATTTTTAAAAGATTATATTTCCAATCGAGTATAGCACTGCAGGTGAAATCAGTGTTTATGATGAAGTCGTCTTTGCTGCAACTCCGCCATATTCACAGGTCGCATCTACAAATAAAGTTCCTTATTCACATTTTCTAAAAATCTTTATTTATGTCACTTCACTTTCACTCGGGCAAAAAAGAGTATTCAAACTCTGAATTAATTAAAATTTTGTTTTAAGTGCAATTTCAAAAAAGCTGTTAGCCTAGATAACTTATCTTAGAAAGTCATTGGCTACCATATTTACTTTTATGATCCTATGAATGCCATGGTTACTGTTTATATCCTATGGTTACCATGTTTACTGTTATGATCCTATGGTTACCATATTTACTGTCATGATCCTATGGTTACCAGTTTAATGTTTAGATCCTATGATTACCATGTTTATTGTTATGATCCTATGGTTACCATGTTTACTGTTTAGATCCTATGGTTACCATGTTTACTGTTTAGATCCTATGGTTACCATGTTTACTGTTTAGATCCTATGGTTACCATGTTTACAGTTTAGATCTTATGATTACCATGTTTATTGTTTAGATCCTAAGGTTACCATGTTTACTGTTTAGATCCTATTGTTACCATGTTTACTGTTAAGATCTTATGGTTACCATGTTTACTGTTTAGATCCTATGGCCGGATCACTGTGTGCAGGAAACTGAAGGTATATTATGAAATCCAAAGTTCTAGTTTTCTCTAGAAACTTTTCTTCAACCATCCTTTACTGAAACATTCTTGAATGGGAGATGCAAATTAAAACTATTTTTAGTAGGAACATGTTTTTTAACTCAGTTTCATAGCTAAAAACTCACACAAAAAAACAAGGTTGATCTTATTAGTTGCTATGTTTTTTAAAACAGACACAGTCTAAAAGATTCTGTACTATAAGTCATTCAGAATAAAGTCCTGTGCTAAAGTGTGACGTTTTATTTCAACAAAGACAGATTAAGTTACAGATTGTTGAATTGTTATTTTCTAATCAGTCAATTTTAATCCCACTGGAAAAAACTTTTGCACTTTAAACCATTTCAATAAATGTTAATAAATATCCTTATTGATTTCTTTATTTTACTAAGCTAACTGTTAAGTCAACAACTCGTTATTCAGGCCTAATTATAATTGACGACATTGTTCTGCAATTTCCTTGACTGTAGTCATGTTGTGTGTCTGTACCAAAAGAAAAAGAGTGTGCATGTGTAAAACAAACTTGTCTGCAAAGCAATGCGACTGGCTTTCTCATGCCAGACCAGCACCACTTCCCTTCCCTTTATTCTTATTCCTTGATTTTTATACTTTTTTGTCGGCACGTTTTCAAATTAAAAAGGTTAATAAGACAGACTAAGTTACAGATTGTTGAATGGTAGACCAAAACGTGAATTAATTCAAATTGAAGAAAATAGACGCATCTCACCATGGTTAATTCAGAGATGAGATTTAAAATCTTAAACCCGAGTGAAACCCAGAGTTGGGCCCAGATAGAACCCAAGTCAGGATTGGCACTGATTCGACCAATTAGAGACTGCTTAGAAGGCTTTCTCTCTGTAGCAGACAGATTACTATCAGATCAGCTGTGACAAGGAGATGTAAATTTCGAAAATTCAAAATTTATGTAGATACATTATTTGCATAGTATGTTTATTTCATACCTTTGATCAAATTTGACACTACAAATAATTCCCGAGATTTTAAATATAAAAGTTTTTTCGAAATTCACGAGTATCAGCTGCTGAAGACCCAAGCCTTGAAGAGATAAAAACCCAAGGTGGTTGGTTTTTACTAAACTCAAGGCCATCCAAAACCCAGGACTTCCCTTGAGCTTTACTTGGGTCTAAGCAGACGCAAAGACCGGGTTTTACTCAGGATTAAGCTTTTAAAATCTCATCTCAGAGTGAGAACCATGCATCAGCATCATTTGTACATGAATCGTAAATCTGTTTTTATTTGAAACAACTGTATAATCTAAAATTTTTAAACTCTTTTTAACTTTTGATATTTTTAGGAGCTGATTTTCCACCAGAGCTGAAACCTTTAGTAGAAGCAAACTCGACATATCTTATTAGAAAGGTATTCTCTAAATAAAGAGAGGTACGTTGTGAAATATAAACGGGGTGAAGAATGAACAAAAATAGATAAGAAATGTGTACAGTTATTATTTCCTTATTAGTTGTATACCTCCTTGTAACATTATACTATGCAATATAACTGCATGCAAATTATATTCTACAGGGTGTCCCAATAAACATGGGAATTAAGTCATGACTTGACAATCGTCTTAGATTTCCCATAGTTGATGAATGACGAAGAGTGTACAAAATGAAGACTGCTATACGTTTTATGAACATTTAAAAATGTGGTCTGCCTTCTTTGTATCTTCAAAATTGATGGAGATACATATTAAACATTTGTAAGATTTCGTCGTTATTTAATAAATCGAAACTTGGACGGATTTTTGAATAAAAATGCAATAATGGTGAACCACATATGGAATTCTCAAAACCAGCAGTTTCTCTTTATTTTTAACTGTTTTAATCGGATTAAAACAAATATTGTGTTTATGTAATAATTGAATGCGGAACAATGACGATATAGATGTCGTGACATAACTCCCATGTTTATTGTGACATCCTGTATCTATAGTTGAGGTTTCCTGCGGGCTAAACCAACAGTTTGTTGCAAACTACTTTAATTAAACTCTATCATAAACTTTACCAACAAAACATTACATTGGCAACTAGAATGTTTTAAAATAGCATTCGAAAATATATTCTTTTCAATTGTGGTTTCGTAAGAATAATGAATTCACGTTATTGGTTAAATACCGGTTAAGATGGTATCGTTGTGAATAGGACATGACCCTCTTTGTATGGAGATTAGCTTGAAATTACACGAACCGTACTTTTAAGAAGGGACTGATGTCATGTCTTTATTTAATGATCTCTGCATACAAAAAGTGACACCAAGGATTCACAATGTAGTGATATTTAAAACCAATTGTCTGTTTGTCGAAAATGAAGACATGATTTTGGTTTCTTAACTTATTAATCCTTTGACGCAACTTTACTGTACACTGTACTCCAATCAGTGGATTTATAAAAAATGTAGAAATGCAAGAAATTGAAGAGTTTGCTACATAAAAACGGTGAATTTTTAGTTTTTTAGCCAAGAATATCACTAATTGTCAATTTTAAATAATTTTCGGGATAAATTGTATTTATATTCACAATGGATCAAATTTAGGATACAACTTTACAGATTTAATTAAGTTATGTTTGATGATTAATTTATCCTTGCTGTCCAAATTTCACCTTCTTTTGTATTCTGTCTGTTTTGTGTCTGTGTGTGCATTCATGGTAACATTTTCTATTCCCTATATCAATAAACCTGATGGTGTAAACCTTTCATATTTTAAACTTAGAGAACTTGATCTTACAGAATTCTTAGTTTAAAAAAGCTAAAGTCTAGAACATTGGGTTCAAAGATATAGGGATTAGAAAGTTAGGATTTGCGACAAAAACTAAATTCCTTAAAACCTTGTTGTGTATTGCGGGTGAATTTCCAAGTTTCAGATTATTATTAAACTCTCATTATTTGTGGTAACATGGAATATAAAACAATCAACAGAAAAGTTACAATTTTGATAAAGTATAAGATTAACACAAATATTGAACATTTCAAATAGAAAATGTTAAAGGATTTAAACGAGTGGCCGATAAAACTTTGGAATGTGAAGACGACATTTAATCAATCTTCTGTGTAACTGATCATGTTGCAGAGCAAATAGTTTTACCAGTAGCTGTTTTTCATGTTGATTGGACTTTGGAAATAATAACTTGAGTCCAGCAGTCTTCTCATTCCACAGCACTATAGTTTCAGTAGAAGAAAATATTTCCATTTAGTGTATAGCAACGCAATAGAGATTTATCTCTAATTGGATAATGAGACAGATAGAAAGATAGATGTGACCGTCATACTATTACTATTGGTTCAGAATAGACACTAAACAAATGACTGAACCCTTCAACCCTGATTGGATTAGGCGCTAATGGACGCGGCATACAGGAGTGTGCCACTGTACTCTGTATCATTGTTCAGAATTTAAATAAAACAAATATAAAATATTAAAAAAAAATTTAGCTTTTATCATTTATTTTAGGGAACCAATCCGGAAGTAGATTCTTATTCTGCATTCTTTGATAATAATGGAAACGGGAATGGGGATACAGGACTTAAGGATATCCTACTGGGAACAGTTACTGAGGTATGATACAGGACTTAAGGATATCCTACTGGGAACAGTTACTAAGGTAGGATACAGGACTTAAGGATATCCTACTGGGAACAGTTACTGAGGTAGGATACAGGACTTAAGGATATCCTACTGGGAACAGTTACTGAGGTAGGATACAGGACTTAAGGATATCCTACTGGGAGAAGTTACTGAGGTATGATACAGGGCTTAAGGATATCCTACTGGATACAGTTACTGAGGTAGGAGACAGGACTTAAGGATATCCTACTGGGAACAGTTACTGAGGTATGATACAAGACTTAAGGATAACCTACTGGAAACAGTTACTGAGGTATGATACAGGACTTAAGGATATCCTAGGATCAGTTACTGAGCTAGGATACAGGACTTAAGGATATCCTACTGGGAACAGTAACTGAGGTAGGATACAGGACTTAAGGATATCCTAGGATCAGTTACTGAGCTAGGATACAGAACTTTAGGATCCTAAGTCGTTTGCATTGTATTGCTATAAAGGCCGACCATTGTATGGATACAGGACTTCAGGATATTCACTAAAGATCTATTACTGAAGTAGATTTTAGGACTTTTATAGTCTTAATTGTTTTGGTTATAAATGATTTATATACTATCATATTATTCAGGTAGTTGTTGTTGGACTAGCTACAGATTATTGTGTTGGAAGAACTACAATAGATGCTCAGGGTCTTGGTATACCTGCTACGATACTACTAGATGTTAGTAGAGGAGTTGCTAATCAGTCAATTCAGGTATGCATGCACATCATACAATACGCTTGGTATACCAGCTACAATACTACTAGATGCTAGTAGAGGAGTCACTAATCAGTCAATTCAGGTATACACATCAGACAATACGCTTGGTATACCAGCTACAATACTACTATGATGCTAGCAGAGGAGTCACTAATCAGTCCAATTCAGGTATACACATCATACAATACGCTTGGTATACCTGCTACAATACAACTAGATGTCAGTTGAGGAGTCACTAATCAGTCAATTCAGGTATACACATCATACAATAAGCTTATGCCTACGATCGACAGAGGTTTTGAAATATAGAGCATGCCTTTTTTAATTTGTTGATACCTTGACATTTCACTCTACAAAAAATTAAGCAGACTGCATTTTAAAAATCCTAAGACTGGGGTTTTTTGTTAAATAATTTAATTACTCCACAATTTGAATTATGTCACAAAGAATGTGTCGCAATCATTGGTTACTAAAAACTAAAAAAAACTTTTGCCTATAGGATATGTTGGGACGGATTGAAAACTCCGGTGGGCGGAGTACAACCTGGGAGAACTGGAGAACAGATGAATGGAGCAGAGCCAAGCATATTGCTCAAACCTTGATTTCTCAAGGATCCAGGGAACCAAAATCAGGGTTTTCTGAAAGTTTTGTCGAGAACTCGGGAACCAAAACCTCAACATTTAATTGTGCTTTGGGATTGGGAACTTATCTCATTCTAATCTTTACGCTTCTAAATCGCCATTTTATGTAATTTATCTGCATGAATGTATATTATGCTTGATAGTGTTTTTTTGTAATCCATTCAGCATTTTATTTGCTTGATTTCGTTTTTCTTAATCTCTTAAACTTAATTCTTTTGATTTATATCGTTAAATTTTGCCTCAAAATAATTTATCCAATTATTTGTTGAAAGTAATATTCACTTAGGGTCGATTCAATAGAATCACAAGGCCTTACTGGATTCAAGAAGGCTATAGAGCACTATTGGGCAGTACTTAACCCTATAAAACAGGCTGTGGGGGGGGGCGTTTGGCACCCTCCCCTGTGGTTTGTTTGTCCTAGAACTCTTATTTTTGACAATATCACCGTGAAATTTTGTGACTTTTAATTAATAGTAATTTAAATTTTTTAATTTATAGGGTAGGGTACAGGGCGGAAGAAAGTCGGGTCAGTGAAAAAAAAATCTAAAATAGTCAATAACTTTTTTGTGAAAAAAAAGCTACAGATCTAAAAAACTATATTATTAAAAAGCCCTTGAAAAAATGCATGTAGAAACATGTGTCGTACTTTGATATTTGTTTAAAACAAAAAAATATTATTTTAATTTTATTGACCCTTTTTAGGCATTTTTTCAACCCTCCCTAGCACCCAAACTATTACAGTTGTTGGTCTAATTTTTCTTTGAGGTGGCCTTGAAAAATTGGGCTATTAACATGCATTTCCTATACCTATTCTCTAAGCCCTTTTTCGAGGGGGGTGGGTGCCAAACGCTGCCCCCCCCCCGGCTATACAAAGATTCAGACCCCCCAGCCTTTATAGGGTTAAGAACAAGATTTAATAATAAAAACCAGGCTTTAAAATTTCGATTAATTGAATTTTACATCTATGTAATAATGTAATTATGTATATATAAATAAGGTTTCAACATTTTTACAAATGACTTCAAATAGGAAAACGTTTGTGTAAGATTTTTAAATATGATAATAAAGGTTGAAATTAATCATGCTAAATGCAATTAATTAGTTGTTTAATACCAAAAACAATAAATAATGTTTTATGGGAGTCATATTATAGTAATTTCATTTAAAAGTGAAATGTATTTGTGAAAAAGTTTTTTAACGAAATAAACTGCAAAAAGCCTTAAATATCATAATACAGTATATAAAAGACGACTTTCAAAACTATTTTTCAATTGTATGGATTGCGCAAATAGATTGTCAAGAACTTCACAATCTTGTCAAGAACTTGACAATATATTTGGATGTACGAATATACAAAATACAGGGTGTCTCAGAAAACATGGGAATTGAGAGATGACTTGAAAATCACTTTCTTTATTACTGATAATTGATAAAAAGCAAAAAACTTTCCGAAAAATGATCTACCTTTTTTATCTTTAAAATTGACGGAGATATTAAACAGTTACACGTGTTAACAATATTATGCATTGCGGAACAAAGACGATATAATGCACCGCGGAACAAAGACGATGTAATGCAGCGTGGAACAAAGACGATGTAATGCAGCGCAGAACAAAGACGATATAATGCAACGTGAAACAAAGACGATATAATGCACCGCGGAACAAAGACGATGTAATGCAGCGCAGAACAAAGACGATGTAATGCAGCGCAGAACAAAGACGATATAATGCAACGTGGAACAAAGACGATTTAATGCACCATGGAACAAAAACAATATAATGCAGCTCAGAACAAAGACGATATAATGCAGCGCAGAACAAAGACGATATAATGCAACGTGGAACAAAGACGATTTAATGCACCATGGAACAAAGACGATATAATGCAGCACAGAACAAAGACAATATAATGCAACGTGGAAAAAAGACGAAATAATGCAGTACGGAACAAAGAAGATATAATGCAGCGCAGAATAAAGACGAAAAAATGCAGCGCGGTACAAAGACAATATAATGCAGCACGGAACAAAGACAATATAAAACAGAGCGGAATAAAGACAAAATAATGCAACGCGGAATAAAGACGATATAATGCAACGCGGAATAAAGACGATATAATGCAACGCGGAATAAAGACGATATAATGCTGCACGGAACAAAGACGATATAATTCAACGCGGAACAAAGACGATATATAATGCAGCTCGGAATAAAGACTTTATAATGCAGCTCGGAATAAAACAATTAATAGTCACGATTTTATACTTTAGCGATCCTTATCCAACCATCTTGTTTAACAGACGGATTTTTGCACTATTTGAAAAATTTGAGAAATTGTTGAGAAAATGTTTATTCTATTGTTTTCCAAAATTTAAAAAAAAATCATGAAAATTAAATGAATTATAACAAAAAATGTAGACCAATTATTTGCATTTTTGGGAAGTAAAACAGTTGTAAGGATTTTTTTTAAAAAATTATTTTAAAAAAAAATATTCGATCGATATTTTCGATAATCCTATTTTTAGCAACTTAAATTCTCATTCTTTGAACAGGGTGTCCCAATAAACATGGGAATCCAGTGACGACTTTGATATCGTCTTCGATCCATGCAGAATTTTTTTATGAAAACAATTATTGCAGTGTTCCAGTTCATCCAACATCTAATATCGAAAACGCCTGGCCTTGAGATTTTCAAAATGTGGTCTACGATGTTTTTATCTTTAAAATTGGCGGAGAAATTGCAAAATTTATTACAAATTTTAATTTATTTACTAAATCAAAGCTTTCTTAATATCTACACATATCTTTGGAAATTTTTAGGACACAAAAAGGTATATATAGACCACTTTATGAAAAGCTCGTCAGCCGTACAGCCCCGTTATCTTACTTTCTTTGCCGTGCATTAAATATCAGAAATCAAAGACGACTTTCAAGTTGTCTCTCAATTCCCATGTTTATTAAGACACCCTGTAGTTCTCCCTGTATCTAAAAAAGAACTCAGCATCTTTGTTTAAGATAAGAGAATGTGAAAATTTACGAATTCGTTCATCAGAAAAAGTTTATGAGGTTTGAGGTTTGAAGGGGGTGCTTTACTTCTTAATTTACCAGAATAGTTTTTGTTATTATTTCCGGGAATACACTCCTGTATGCCGAGTCCATTAGCGCCTGATCCAATCAGGGTTCAGTCATGTGTTTGATGTCTTTTCTGAACCAATAGAAATAGTTTGGCGGTAACATCTATCTTTCTATCTATTTCATCATCCAATTAGAGATAAATCCTTATATCGGCGCTATCGGTAAATGGAAATATTTACTTCTACTGAAGCTATAGTGATATAGTCCCGGCTTAAAGGTCTATTCTAAAAAAAGACACTCCCTTGAAATGATTATCCACTCTATCGTGAAAGGTCTACAGGCAACAATAAAAGAATATGTTGAAACTATTTAATGATAAAAATGCATAGGAACAACACAGGGTTGTGAATTTACTCTTTGCCACAAGCTTAAATTTTCTAATCCCTATATATTTACAACCTTGTAATGCAAACCTTTGATATTTCTAACTTAGATTTTTTTATTTAACAGCATTTAAATTGTTTGAAAGGAATTTATTCTTTGCTACAAGCTCAAATTTTATAATCCCTATATATTTGGAACCTGAAGATGTAAACCTTTAATATTTCTAACTTAGATTAAATGATTTGACAGAAATCAAAGTTTAAAAATTTAAATATCTACGACAGTGGGTTGCAAAGATATAGTGACAATATAATATTATAGAATCTGCGTATTAATATTTAAAGCGTTTCAATATTACTTTATAAGCCGCCTTTTCATTTCTTCGTAATTTTATAGCTCAAAACTTTGCATTTCGTCGTTTTGACGTTTATATTGGGTACAGACAAACAAGCCAATGTATATAAATGTAAAGTTCGCGAAATAGTCACTTTAGAGGGACTGTAAAGGAAAAATGAAAGGGGGTCTAGGCTGAAACCTGAGAATCTCAGGAGTTGAACGATACCTATAAGATATCTTTCTGATGCTCCTGTCTCGAGAAATTGATATAAAACTGTGTCAAAGGAATTGAGTCTTTGTCACAAACTCTGATTTTTTAATCCCTATATCTTTGCAGCCCAATGTCGTAGATCTTAAATATTTCAAACTATAAATTCTGTCAGTTCAAATAATTTAAGTTTGAAATATCAAGGTTAACACCATAAGGTTGCAAATATATATGGAAAAGAAAATATAAGAAAATTCATATATGTATGCAATTTTGTATAGAAGTTGTACCATTAAACAGATCATATTCAACAAATACGCGACCAATCTGAAAACAACGATATCCCACAGGAGCCTGAGAATCTCAGGTTTGCTCCTATTGCATTTTTTATTTTGCATTGTGCTTTTTTAATAGATATAATTGCTAAAATTATTACATATAGTCGGTATAGTCCCTATTACGTCACCAGAACTTTAGCCAATGGCAGTGCAGTATAGTTGTCACGTGATTTCCGTCTGTATCACGTGACAACTATACCCGCTTTCATTTTTCCTTTACAGTCCCTCTAAATTGATATTTTACACACATATTATTCAAACTCAAACTCTTTCTTTTAACATAATTTGATCAAATTAGGGAAATTAAACTACCCCTCCTATCTTATATTCATTATAGTTAGATTTAGCTAAATACTTTAAATATATGTATTTCTATAATGTATACAATACATACATTTGTCAACTGTATATTGTTATTAAGCACTGTAGGAAAATATATTATGAATATATACATATATATATATAAAGATAGATGAATATATATATATATATATATCTAAGGGATTAGCTGCTCAAACTTTGAACAAAATAGTTTCAAAATATATTTTTACATAATTATGAAATCAAAAGTCAATTTGTATTAATCAAAAATTGCCAGTATAAACCTTCTTTTTGCAAAATTTTTACAAAAGTAAAAAATTAGTCCATAAAATTTACACAATAAAAATTTCACTTTAGGATTTATCACATAAAATAAACTGAGTACACTAGAACTTAATTAAATATAAATGAATGGAACTTAAAAATGAAAAAATTAGGCCTAAATAAGATATTATCAAACCGGGGTTTTCGCCTCTTTAATAAAAATGGGGATTAATTTTGGTTCTTATCAGTCAGACTTTATGGATTGCAGTAAGATAGAAACCTGATCAATATATTGAGTAAAGTCACCGTATATATATAAATATATATCAATATATAAAAACATTTCGACTCAAATATATTCACTATATACAGTAAACCAGATAATGATTGGGAAACTTGCATGTTATCTTTGAGAAGGTTTACTCAGGGTCTAATATATGGCTATGTCATCTATACATGAGTAAGGTACGTAGTAAATGTTCTCAAATGTTTTATCGAATTTCACAATGTACAAACACCACCCTCCACTGTACTGCAGTGGTTTACAGTACACTGACCGAAGAAATAGAAGAATAGTAAGTTTTAGTGGAGAGTGACACAGTCTTATTCTCTATAACTGGAGTTCAAATGTTTTTCCGTCCTGGAGGAACGGATTCTTATTATTCACATGTTTCTCTGATTTCACGTCTACGCTATATTTTCTGGTCGCAATAGCCGCCCATTCTGCGTCAAACGGATCCTCTAGTATCGAGCTCTGTACAGTGTTCTCCAGGAAGGAATTATGTCCTGTGCTGTTCTCCAGGATGGATGACTGAAGGTTAGATCTCCATAATTCTCCGGATTGTTGTGGTAAACTTGCTCCTGAATTGGTTGAGGAGGGACTACTGTATCCACTAGAGGTTCCTGGATTCTTACTAAACTCCTCAAGACCGTGGTTGATAAAGGGAGGAAATTTTGAATCTAGATCAAAATCTTTTGTTCCGCTAGAACTCCAATGATTGATGGCAGGGACGCACGAGTATTTAAAATCATTTAAACCCAGAGACGAATAAACTGGATCCGCCATGATAAGGGATGAATTCACTGGGTTAGGTTGAGAAAAACCAGACAAAATATTGAAGTTGTCTAAAGTGTTCCCGCTGGAAGGTTGGGGAACGGATGGAAGATGAGGAGGAGAGTGAGGTTGATCAGGAACCATATCCCAGGGGTTGTGCTCACTCTCTGGGGTCTCAGGGAGCTTGTGAAGCCTGGTTGGGATGAGAAGAGAAGGAGGAGGAGACATACTATAGGTTGATGATGAATCTCCAGTAATAAAAGCTGGAGTAGAGGTTCCAGACGCCCCACTAGTTGCTGCCAACTCTGCCTGGGTAAATGGATCATCATTGGTTAAGAGATCTACGGATTTATTATAGTTATCTTCAAGATTAGAAGAAGGTAACTCAATATCTTCCATTATAGGACTGTCGGAGAGTAATCTTCTCTCTTTGTAGGACGGGAGATCGTTGGGTCGAAGTGAGAGCTGGAGTTTAGAATGTCTCTTAAACGGAGTTTGTCCCGAGAGTTGACCCAACCCTCTGAAGGACGCTTGTCTCTGGTACATTGTCTCCGTGGGTCTAGGTCTCTCTACAGATTTGGTCTCAACCTCGACAGATTTAGGAGGCGCAGGACTTATCCTCATAGATTGAGGATCTTCCAGTCTCTCGGTCATTGTACCGACACGGAAAGATCCATTTCTGGTGAAAGAACTATCATTTGAGTTGTACTGTACTGATACATTTGTTTTGTCTCGCTTCTGCTTATTTTCAAGACAAATACCGAAAGCGCAACCGACTGCGTGGCTCAACCTCTCTCCGGTATCTCCCACAGCCATAAACCCATGACACATCCATCTCCTGGAGGTTCCATCTCGGCAGATATAGGAGAACCCCTTCTCAAAGTTTCTGTCAGGAGCACAGAATGAAACTTTCTCAATTGTTTGATCCAGGACCAGTCCCTTAGTATCATCATCAACTAGTCGGATACTATCTCCGTTCACGCAAAGAGTTCCTCGGACAGTTCTTCTTCTCTCTTGTTTTAACCTGCTCACTGCTGCTTCACAAACCTAGAACATTAACAAACATTAAAAATTAAACCTTAGATCTACCTTCTCTAAACCTAAGATCTAGCAACTCTAAACCTAAGATCTACCAATTCTAAACTTAAGATCTACCAACTCTAAACCTAAGATCTACCAACTCTAAACTTAAGATCTACCAACTCTAAACATAAGATATAACAACTCTGAACGTAAGATCCACCAACTCTAAACCTAAAATTTACCAACTCTAAACCTTGCTCTACCAACTCTAAACCTTAGTTCTACCAACTCTAAACCTAAGATTTACCAACTTTAAACCTTTAAATCTACCAAATTCTCGTGATTAAATTAACACACGGTAAGTCTACCAAGTTTAAACCTTATTAAAATCTACCATTAGTTCTATAAATGACCGTGTCGAAACACCAAGTATATTTGGTGACAAATGTTAGCTAAAATGACCAGGTAACCTTGAGGTTCAAGATCTGAAGAAACCTAGAATAATCCCCGTCAAACATGTGTATTTTCTTTAGAAAATAGATATTATACAGGGGACATATCTAGGTGTCCAAGATTCCTATGGACCGGAGTAACATATCTAGGTGTCCAAGAATACTTTAGACCGGAGTAACATATCTAGGTGTCCAAGATTACTATGGACCGGAGTAACATATCTAGGTGTCCTAGATTCTTATGGACCGGAGTAACAAGTCTGGGTGTCCAAGAATACTTTAGACCGGAGTAACATATCTAGGTGTCCTAGAGTACTTTAGACTAGAGTAACATATCTAGGTGTCCAAGAATACTTTAGACCGGAGTAGCATATCTAGGTGTCCTAGAATACTTTAGACTAGAGTAACATATCTAAGTGTCCTAGAATACTTTAGACTAGAGAAACATATCTAGGTGTCCTAGAATACTTTAGACTAGAGTAACATATCTAGGTGTCCTAGAATACTTTGACCAGAGTAAAATATCTAGGTGTCCAAGATTCTTATGGACCGGAGTAACATATCTAGGTGCCCTAAAATACTTTAGACCGGAGTAACATATCTAGGTGTCCTAGAAAGATATGATATCAATGAAGAGTTCATCGGAGTAACTTGTCATCCCAATTCTCGATCCTTCCTTAATAATCTCCATTCTTCCATATGAATCCCCCCCCATTCCTGAAATACAGTCTCCCTCCTCCCTCAAACCCTCCTGAATACAACCAAGCCTAGTTCCCCTCTGCCCGAGGCCTGGTCTTTTCTCTACGATTATAGGCATCACAGCTGATTGGACCTGAGTAATTGATGGCTTGCCTAAACCTAAGATCAACCAGATCTAAATAAAGACGGATAACATTGCCAAACATATTAGAATCTTTCTAGAAGATTGAAAATCCCGACATCATTTCATAACAAACAAATCCTTTTTTTGCTTGAAACTTGTCTCAAGGATGTGAGCCCGGAATGAATATTTCACTTTTTATGATACCGATGTTTCCAAGGTCAATAAGTCTTTCCGCAATCTTTACTTCTTAACTTCCTTGTCATATTTTGCACAATCATTCGAAATGATTTCTGGAAGGATGTGATCGCTCAAAATCTCAGATTGTTGTCTCAGTGTAAGAAATGAAACTATAAATCGATCTCAGTCTTTTTTTTCATTTCAATTGAAGTGTAATTTACAAGAAACTATCATTACAGAAACATTGGATAGAGATAAAAGTAGAATCAATTGATTAATGTATAATTTTATGTAAATTCATCCTGCAGAGGGACCCGTGAAACTGTCGATAAGGAATACAATTGATTGATGTATAATTAATTCTATTTAAATTCATCCTGCAGAGGGACTCGTAAAACTGTCGATAAGGAAGACGGTTGATTGATGTTTAATTAATTCTATTTAAATTTATCCTGCAGAGGGACCCATAAAACTGTCGATTAGGAAGACGATTGTGAGGAATGTAAGTGTAATTTCAAGGGACCCTCCATTCAAAGATGGCAATGCCCGATTCACAACAGCATCCGTATTTAAGATTGGTGGGTTCTCTGCAAAAGTGACCTGCACATTTCTACTGTAGGTAAACATATAAGAATTAAACCCTAGAAAAACAACAATATCTTCCACATTATTGATCTAATATAGGTTTCAAGAGTACCGTTGTGAGTTGGAGATTGCCATGTTCGTAATTCTTACACAGTTTAATGAGTCACACTGAAACCTTCCCTTTAATATTATTTATTCACCTGCATTCCTCTAGACTCGTATACTTCGCAACAACCCAGGTATTTGACGTAGAAGCTACAAGTTCCAGCTCTCACCCCCGCCTCATCCATTCTCCATTTATCTGCGCGGGTTAGCTCAACCTGCTGACTGCTCTCCTTACGCTTACGCATGCTGTGTCTAAACCCAGAACCATATATAAACAAATATTAAAATGGATTTCAGTCATTTTGCTCAGCCGTTTAGTTTGTCTTGAGCTCAAGACAAGATATAGTTGTACAGATTTTACATATATTTTGTGTACGTGTGATATGATCAAAATTTTCCTCAAAATTTGAGGAAAATCGGTTAATGGGGTTCCTGAGTTATGATCGGACATACAAACAAACAAACAAATATTACTACTTTATACATATATATATATTTATAAACCTTGCTCTACCAACTGTAGGAAAATATATTATGAATATATACATATATATATATAAAGATAGATGAATATATATATATATATATATCTAAGGGATTAGCTGCTCAAACTTTGAACAAAATAGTTTCAAAATATATTTTTACATAATTATGAAATCAAAAGTCAATTTGTATTAATCAAAAATTGCCAGTATAAACCTTCTTTTTGCAAAATTTTTACAAAAGTAAAAAATTAGTCCATAAAATTTACACAATAAAAATTTCACTTTAGGATTTATCACATAAAATAAACTGAGTACACTAGAACTTAATTAAATATAAATGAATGGAACTTAAAAATGAAAAAATTAGGCCTAAATAAGATATTATCAAACCGGGGTTTTCGCCTCTTTAATAAAAATGGGGATTAATTTTGGTTCTTATCAGTCAGACTTTATGGATTGCAGTAAGATAGAAACCTGATCAATATATTGAGTAAAGTCACCGTATATATATAAATATATATCAATATATAAAAACATTTCGACTCAAATATATTCACTATATACAGTAAACCAGATAATGATTGGGAAACTTGCATGTTATCTTTGAGAAGGTTTACTCAGGGTCTAATATATGGCTATGTCATCTATACATGAGTAAGGTACGTAGTAAATGTTCTCAAATGTTTTATCGAATTTCACAATGTACAAACACCACCCTCCACTGTACTGCAGTGGTTTACAGTACACTGACCGAAGAAATAGAAGAATAGTAAGTTTTAGTGGAGAGTGACACAGTCTTATTCTCTATAACTGGAGTTCAAATGTTTTTCCGTCCTGGAGGAACGGATTCTTATTATTCACATGTTTCTCTGATTTCACGTCTACGCTATATTTTCTGGTCGCAATAGCCGCCCATTCTGCGTCAAACGGATCCTCTAGTATCGAGCTCTGTACAGTGTTCTCCAGGAAGGAATTATGTCCTGTGCTGTTCTCCAGGATGGATGACTGAAGGTTAGATCTCCATAATTCTCCGGATTGTTGTGGTAAACTTGCTCCTGAATTGGTTGAGGAGGGACTACTGTATCCACTAGAGGTTCCTGGATTCTTACTAAACTCCTCAAGACCGTGGTTGATAAAGGGAGGAAATTTTGAATCTAGATCAAAATCTTTTGTTCCGCTAGAACTCCAATGATTGATGGCAGGGACGCACGAGTATTTAAAATCATTTAAACCCAGAGACGAATAAACTGGATCCGCCATGATAAGGGATGAATTCACTGGGTTAGGTTGAGAAAAACCAGACAAAATATTGAAGTTGTCTAAAGTGTTCCCGCTGGAAGGTTGGGGAACGGATGGAAGATGAGGAGGAGAGTGAGGTTGATCAGGAACCATATCCCAGGGGTTGTGCTCACTCTCTGGGGTCTCAGGGAGCTTGTGAAGCCTGGTTGGGATGAGAAGAGAAGGAGGAGGAGACATACTATAGGTTGATGATGAATCTCCAGTAATAAAAGCTGGAGTAGAGGTTCCAGACGCCCCACTAGTTGCTGCCAACTCTGCCTGGGTAAATGGATCATCATTGGTTAAGAGATCTACGGATTTATTATAGTTATCTTCAAGATTAGAAGAAGGTAACTCAATATCTTCCATTATAGGACTGTCGGAGAGTAATCTTCTCTCTTTGTAGGACGGGAGATCGTTGGGTCGAAGTGAGAGCTGGAGTTTAGAATGTCTCTTAAACGGAGTTTGTCCCGAGAGTTGACCCAACCCTCTGAAGGACGCTTGTCTCTGGTACATTGTCTCCGTGGGTCTAGGTCTCTCTACAGATTTGGTCTCAACCTCGACAGATTTAGGAGGCGCAGGACTTATCCTCATAGATTGAGGATCTTCCAGTCTCTCGGTCATTGTACCGACACGGAAAGATCCATTTCTGGTGAAAGAACTATCATTTGAGTTGTACTGTACTGATACATTTGTTTTGTCTCGCTTCTGCTTATTTTCAAGACAAATACCGAAAGCGCAACCGACTGCGTGGCTCAACCTCTCTCCGGTATCTCCCACAGCCATAAACCCATGACACATCCATCTCCTGGAGGTTCCATCTCGGCAGATATAGGAGAACCCCTTCTCAAAGTTTCTGTCAGGAGCACAGAATGAAACTTTCTCAATTGTTTGATCCAGGACCAGTCCCTTAGTATCATCATCAACTAGTCGGATACTATCTCCGTTCACGCAAAGAGTTCCTCGGACAGTTCTTCTTCTCTCTTGTTTTAACCTGCTCACTGCTGCTTCACAAACCTAGAACATTAACAAACATTAAAAATTAAACCTTAGATCTACCTTCTCTAAACCTAAGATCTAGCAACTCTAAACCTAAGATCTACCAATTCTAAACTTAAGATCTACCAACTCTAAACCTAAGATCTACCAACTCTAAACTTAAGATCTACCAACTCTAAACATAAGATATAACAACTCTGAACGTAAGATCCACCAACTCTAAACCTAAAATTTACCAACTCTAAACCTTGCTCTACCAACTCTAAACCTTAGTTCTACCAACTCTAAACCTAAGATTTACCAACTTTAAACCTTTAAATCTACCAAATTCTCGTGATTAAATTAACACACGGTAAGTCTACCAAGTTTAAACCTTATTAAAATCTACCATTAGTTCTATAAATGACCGTGTCGAAACACCAAGTATATTTGGTGACAAATGTTAGCTAAAATGACCAGGTAACCTTGAGGTTCAAGATCTGAAGAAACCTAGAATAATCCCCGTCAAACATGTGTATTTTCTTTAGAAAATAGATATTATACAGGGGACATATCTAGGTGTCCAAGATTCCTATGGACCGGAGTAACATATCTAGGTGTCCAAGAATACTTTAGACCGGAGTAACATATCTAGGTGTCCAAGATTACTATGGACCGGAGTAACATATCTAGGTGTCCTAGATTCTTATGGACCGGAGTAACAAGTCTGGGTGTCCAAGAATACTTTAGACCGGAGTAACATATCTAGGTGTCCTAGAGTACTTTAGACTAGAGTAACATATCTAGGTGTCCAAGAATACTTTAGACCGGAGTAGCATATCTAGGTGTCCTAGAATACTTTAGACTAGAGTAACATATCTAAGTGTCCTAGAATACTTTAGACTAGAGAAACATATCTAGGTGTCCTAGAATACTTTAGACTAGAGTAACATATCTAGGTGTCCTAGAATACTTTGACCAGAGTAAAATATCTAGGTGTCCAAGATTCTTATGGACCGGAGTAACATATCTAGGTGCCCTAAAATACTTTAGACCGGAGTAACATATCTAGGTGTCCTAGAAAGATATGATATCAATGAAGAGTTCATCGGAGTAACTTGTCATCCCAATTCTCGATCCTTCCTTAATAATCTCCATTCTTCCATATGAATCCCCCCCCATTCCTGAAATACAGTCTCCCTCCTCCCTCAAACCCTCCTGAATACAACCAAGCCTAGTTCCCCTCTGCCCGAGGCCTGGTCTTTTCTCTACGATTATAGGCATCACAGCTGATTGGACCTGAGTAATTGATGGCTTGCCTAAACCTAAGATCAACCAGATCTAAATAAAGACGGATAACATTGCCAAACATATTAGAATCTTTCTAGAAGATTGAAAATCCCGACATCATTTCATAACAAACAAATCCTTTTTTTGCTTGAAACTTGTCTCAAGGATGTGAGCCCGGAATGAATATTTCACTTT